TCAGTATATACTTTACGAAAGAATAAAACAGATATTTGTCTACTGTCAAAATTAGTCAAACATCCTCACTCTGACACATGCGACTGCCCTGACACGGTAAGCTAAGCTATGGGAGGATACCCGCTCCCGCCACGGAAACTCAGTTGCCAATGGAGGTCGAAAAGAAAGGAAAAACAAGGAAAAACACACATTTTAAACTTTATTTCTCCCATTACTCAGAACCCCATGTTCATCTGGTCCCAGTTGTTGAAACGTTGGATAACACTATCCACCGGATAAATCACTATCCTGTGGATAGCGTGGTCTATTTTGCCAACACTTATCCGTTAGATCATGTAACGATTTGTAGATTTAATACGCTGAATTGCGTAATTAACCCATTGAACAATTGGCGTTTAATGTGGAGTATATATGAAATAATTCATATTTGAATGAAAGTGAAGAATGATCATAGCAGTAAATTTTGGAAAATTTACTGCGATGATCATTCTTCACTTTCACCTACAACCGCAATTCAAATATGAATTATTTCATATATACTCCACATCATTTCACTGCTCACGGGAAGATATGAACTCAGTTAATTGTCCTCGTTCCCAATGTGTAGCTTCATAGCTCAGTTGGCTGAGCATCGCACCGGTGTTCGCGGAGGTCACGGGTTCGAATTCTGTTGAAGCCCTGATTTTTTTTTTTTTTTTCCAGGCTTCTTCTTTCCAATTGTGTAAATTGGAAAATTTACTGCGATGATCATTCTTCACTTTCAATTGGCGTTAGTTGTAAACTCAGACAAACTCAACCTTACTAACGGAGAATCGAAGCTGCCCTGGGAAACACGTTTCCAAAAATGGCAAGGGATGCGTTTTTAACTTAACATCTGAGCGTGAGTATATCTCTTCGCGACTTATCCCCTCTTCCAGCAAGACTGCAACTCCGTACGAGCCCGCAAAGCGTAAAACCGCGAGTCTGAGTTTACGGTAAAAAAAAAAAAAAAAGCGCTGGCGTTGTATGCAAACGGAAGGGTACGGAAGAAAGTTTGAAGAAAGTCTTTTGATATGTTTGTTCGAATTTCAACACAAAAGCAAAACCTTAATTAGAATTGGCAGCGAAAAACTGTTAGATACTTTGTCAAATAAGATCTTCACCAATGGAGAACGTCCATTGCAAAGCCACA